CCGTGTGGGAAAAGGTAGACACTGTGTTCCCTAACTGCTTAGGGCTTATAGGTGATGAGCAGCTCTTAAAACTTTGTTTGAAAATTGGCATTTGTGGCTTTTTGATTATTTGTGAGTTTGACATCTGCCCCATGAGGCCCTAGGCCAAAAAGTTGGTGTTTAGTTCCCTGCAACTTCATGGGGATAGACAGAAGGACTCCCTGTGGCTTTAGAGGACAGAGCAATCATGTTCTGAATCACACACACACACACACACACACACACACACTTAAGTCTACAAACCAGCCGATTTTGATGGGTGGCAAGATTGCCACTGCACCACCCCCTGAAGCTGTGGGACATGGAGTAGCCATTATTTCAGTCACCAATCACCCCTTCACCATAAATTGTACTCCATTGTGGAATTGTTTGTGACTGGAACTGCCAGTATGCCACTCCCCACAGATTCAAAAAGGGCACAGCACCACCACCCCATCCACCAGGCTTGGCCCTCTCCTGGAGAAATTTTTGATTGTTTCACATTTATGAGGATTAATCTGTCCCTAATCTCCATGAAGATGGAAGGCCACTTGTAATACCACAGCTTAGACAATATGGGAACCATATACTGTAGTATATAAAGCATATCCCAAATGTCTGAAATTTTGGGTTCACACGGCATGGCAAACTTTGATTGATTCCAATGAAGATACAGTGTCAAGGGACAGATCTCTTTATTGCTCTAGTTGGCCAAGGAAGAATGCCAAGAGAACTTGCCCAGATTCGGCATATCTCAAGTTTGGAGACATTGACATTTTATAGATATTTGGAAATGGCTCTGAGTGGTACAAATTATGATTCATAGTCTTATTGGTTCTCAATACATTCATTGTTGAAATAATAGACTTTGCTCTGATTGGCCCAAACTACAATCTTATTGGTGTAAAGTGTGTGGTGGAAAGCCCTTCATTGGAAGGATTCTTTAGTCTGCTTTCTGTATCCTCATTGCCCCTTTCCACCTGTGAAAGCTCATTGACATAAGAAAGTACTATTTGGAGGAGGGTGATTTTGTGGTGGATATCAGGTCTAGGGAGGGGAACACTCCTTGACTGAACAAAATATAGTAGTTGATAGCAATCCCAGGATGATAAATTCGAGATTTCTTTTGGAAAGAATTCATTTTGTCTCTGAGTGAATCTGCATTCTGTTCTTAGTTCTTATTCAGGGGCGAGGCTGAAGTGGGAATTCTGGTATCTTGAGAGTAACTAGAGGACATTTACCAGAACCTCCAGTTTTTAGGGTCACAGTTTCAGAAAACATAAATGTGGCTGTGTATTCTAGATTTTGCACCATTGGATGTCTCTGAGTACTTTAAAGGTAGACATACCCACTCCTGAGACTCATACTGAGCTGTTTTACATGTTGAATAATATATGGTTGAAAAACACTAGCATAAATATGAACATAGAATAGGTAATGCAGCCTTGACAATCCAGCTAGCTCATTACACTGTCATGGCATTTATTAAACACTCTCGAAAGTTCAAGTTTATTCTTGCAGATTTCTGTCATTTATTCCATCTCCACTTAAACATTTGAAGGAGATTCCTAGTTGGAATATAAAGGAAGTCATCACATAGTGCTGCTTATTCAGGTGAAAAGTCTCTGTGGAGGTGAAGCAGTTCTCTTTGTTTATCTGCACAGAACAGTGAATAGAAAATAAAAAAGGATCATAAACAGGCGGAAACTTATCTTCAAGACTACAGCTTGCAAGGCTTTTGCAGGTCTTTAAGATTATACTTTATTGGCATGATCAAGACTTTGACTCAAGGAAGTTAATGGTTTCCAGTGGTGTCTTGTGACCAAGCCATAGAGGAATGTCTTCTCACCATTTCAGGGGAACCTCACTTCTCAGCATTCACAAACTGCCCCTTTTTTCAACCACATGGTGATTAAACAAAGTAACATTCTAGAGTTATGGGGCAATCTTTCTTTGCCGTAGCTCCAGGGGCAAACTATACAGTATTTCATAAAAACCCTTGCCTATACTGATATAATGACATATTTCTCAATCTTCACTTTGCAAAGGCAAGCAGCCTGACATTTTTACCAATAAATAATGGTTGAAATCATGTAAAAAGAATGAAAGACTGATATGGAAGAATGTAAATAACCACTATATACATATGGGACTACTCCTTCTTTGGCATTTTGTAAGTGGGGTTTTTAAAATATGTCTGTGTCTAAATCATGAATTGTAATCTAAAACGCATATTCTTCCATTAAAAAGGTACTACTATATTTTAATTTGTGGTAAAATAATCATTTGATCCAAATATAGAACATTTTAATAATCGATTTCTCTTCACCATTGTTTCTGAAAATGTGTTATCTAATATGAAAAAAATTTTGGTTTTGCCTTGAATAATCATTACCACTTGAGCGCCTTAATGTATATTACATTGTATTGCAGTTGTAGCACAAAAACAATTAAACCTGCACTAACCCCAGAGCCTATAGCAGTTGTTACAATTTTCTCAATTGGTTGATTAAGCTGGAGTCAAAAATGAAGTTATTACAGTAAAAAGGTCAGTTCAATTCATTCTGTAACTACAAAATCAGCTTATTACTGCAGAGACATAAACAATGGAAGGATTTGGACTATGTTTAAGTTTAATAATTTTTTTCTTCAATTCATAACCCAGATGAACTAGAGACATTATTGAATGGATCATATTTTAATTTTCTTACTCTTGAAGATCTATTGACTGTAACAAATGAAAGCAGGATGAGGACATAAATGACTTTAGTGTGTCCAAGGCAAACATAATTGAAACCAATACTTCTGTTGAAGCATAATTCAAACTAATCCTTCTGTTGAAACTAGAGGCATTTGTCTTAGAGAACCGTTCAGCACAATGGTGCCATTTTATATGAAGGTCATCTAGCCAGAGGTTAGCTGTGGTCTTGGTTTAACCTCAGTTGTATTTGCCATCTGCCCTATAACTAGGAGGTGAATCTAGCAAAATGAACTGTCATTTAAGTCATATATATATTTATATTTAAGATTTTAGAGTCTGATAAACCTAAAATTGTAATTGATGTTGATGTATGCATAAGGAGCTAAATCTGTGAAGATGCTGGAATATGTAAGACCAAAAGGAAAAATATTTGAGGAGGAAAAATAAATAAGGGAGCCAAATGGAGGCTGGCAAAACAGTTTATTCTAGTCAGCAGAGATTTATAGACTTAACAAGAAATCAGAATGCCTTGAGAAAATGAGGAGATATGTGGTTCTCCATACAATTCAGTGTCTAACCACATGAAAAGTGGCCTGAAATGAGCAACTTGAAAAGAAAATTTCAAGTAGGACTTGAGAAAGCCTTATAAAGCCTCCCTAGTGTGGTCTAGCCACATCTTTCCAGGTGCTGCTGCAGGCTTTTTGTTTTGATATCAATTGCAGTAGCTGATGCATTATAGGGAAAAGAAAAGGCAATGGTGTATGAGGTAGAGATGAAGTGGAGTTTGGGAGGTGACCCTTTTACTCAAACAGTTTTAAGGGCATTTTAAAATGCACAAATGTTTATATTTCTAGATATTTGAAGGATTTACCAAATAGGTAGAAGATACTGTTATTTGTAGTTCACTCCATTTTCACTTTCAAATTAAATGAGATGCAATTTTTCATAGTTTCACACTATACTATAGAAAAATTCATCGGGGGTGTGTGGAGATAATGATATGGCATATCCCTAAAAGGAACAGAGATACATATTTTGACATAGATATAGATATACTACAGAGCTGAAAGCATAGCTACTACCTGGTGATAATGGGGGGGGGGGGCAGTACACCTAGAAACTTCCATATATGATTTCCATTGAATCCCACCTTGTGGCAAAAGCAGGAGGTAAAATCAATAAAAAAAAATAAACCTGGTCAATTGATTTTTTACAACTCTGTACCTTGCTTCTTTAATTCCATCCTCCACTGGCATTTAGCTTTTTTCAAACACCTTCCAATCCTCATTGGTGTGGGTTAACTGAGAGTCTACTATAATGGTTTGTTTCAGTTTCTTAATCTTGCACTGTGAAGTCTATGAACCAATGTTTGCATGCATTCATTTTGTTGTGTGAATTTTTTTACATGACACATTTGAAATATTGATTACAATATTCAGGAAGGAATTAATATAGTTTAAGAATAAATATGTAATCATTAGAACAGCCTCAAGTAATTACCATAAGATCTGGCAGGCTGGCACAAGTTCTTCTACAGCCAATACATCTTCCTCCCCACTCTCTCGTTGGCCAAGTAAAATGGGCTTAGTAGCTTCAACCACATTGATCAAAGCATGTGCTTATGGGAGTAGGCATGTCTAGGGCAGCAGAGGGTGTGGGGAAGAAAAGAGAAACTAAGAGAAGATGAAGTGGACTTCCAGCCTTCAGAAAAAGGTTTACTGCTCAAGTGATTAGTACTGTCAAATCAATAAACATACTAAAAGAGTGTATGCATATGCCTTCAGGTGACCTGTCAATTTAGTACAAAGGAGTTAACAGTAGTCCAACCAGAATAATGACTAACTTCCATCAAAACTCTAGTTTCATCAGCACATAAAAACAGAATTCTAAAAAATAATATTGAGCAATTCGTTGTACTGTCTTATATATCTTAAATTTGGAAGATTGTTTGGATTATCACAACCACCAACAGCTAGATTCTCATAGGTAATTTAAGATGGAGGATTTCACCCAGAATTTTCTTCTTTCAGAAGGGAGAATTTTCTATCCATGGAAAGTTTCTGGAATAGCAGAGTAATTATACTTACAAAATGGGGGAAGAGAAGAATTTTAATGTTTTTTTCCCCTCTGCTGCCCACTACATATGTGTATAGGGATGTGTAATTAATTTCCTAGGACAACACTTTAGTTTCATTTGACTTTCTGCTGGGTGTTTTGAAACCTTTTGAGAAACTAGTTCTATAAGAAAAGATAATCACAGAAGGACTGATTTTTTTTCCAGATCCATCTCCTCCTCCTCCTGAAACAATTGTCATCGTTCTGGCATCAGTGTCTGTATTGGCTGTTTTGGTGGTTGCTCTTTTCTTTGGATACAGGATGCTTGTAGGTAAGTTTGGTTCAATTTGTAAACAAGAGTAGAAGTAATCCTTTGCTATTTTTTGTTATTGCTATTGTGTCCTTGATATCTTCTCCTTGCTCTTCTCCAATGTTTTATTCTATTTGTTGCGATAAGAGTTTTTAAAGTCCTCGAAAATATTCCCTAAACCTCTTTAACAGATCAGAATGCAGCCATTAATTTACTGCCAGTTTAGTATAATTCCATGTAATTAAATCTTACATCCCTTGGGAAGATGCCCAAGTTGAAATGTCTAGAGTGCAATTGTCCGTGTGCCTTCCCTGTTTTTTTGTTGAGGTGCTACATCAATGCTGGCTTTTGCAGATGGGAGCAAAGATACTCCACGCGATGAAGATGACTTTTGAGACAAGCTGCTTCGGAGGTTACCACCAAATCTTGAGAAAGACTACATGGGACAGATAAAGTGTAGAATATATAGCAGCATCCTCTCAATAAATTCTTGCATTCGAATTATTCTGGGAAATAGATTTTTCAAGAATTGTAATATTTTCTGGTTCATTTCTTCCTACTTTGGGACATCGATGTTGTGTAGGACTATAGCTCTCTCATTCCCACCCAAAATGGCTGGAGCAAAAATTTGGGGGTAGCCTGCTGTAACCTTTAAAAATGCTTGAATGTCCTAAATAGTTAGTGGTATAGAGAGTATTTCCATATTTATGATAATCCAGAAATTCTATTTTAATAAACAAAAATGCAAACTAGGTATATTATGGTGCATGCGGCCCATTCATCCTACTCTGCTCTTCCTTTTGCATGAGTGGCTAAACAAACCAGGAAGGAAAAAGCTTTGCATTATGTTGGAAGCAAAGATTACAGTAAAGAGCATGGAAAAAAACCTAGAATATGTAAATTAAAATACGATACAGCCTGTTATGCGATAGGTCTCTTCTTTTGTTTGGGTGCTACACAGTTATGGTAATTAAGTATAATTAATTGTCTACACGATCATACCGTTTGAACACATAGGATTTATTAATCGTGGCATGTTATTACGTAAGGATACAGCCCCTCTATGAGCATTTTGATATATAAATAATCAAAACTCTTAACTTTTGTTTGGATCTTTTTCCTCAGGAGATCGTAAACAAGGTCTGCACAGTATGGATATGATGGAAGCAGCAGCATCAGAACCCTCGCTAGACCTGGATAATTTGAAACTGCTGGAGGTAAGTTTGCCATCTGAAATAGTGGAAGCTCCTTTTTTGACATTTCAGATGATTTATGAATCGTTTGTTCAGTTTAGTACCAGATGCAAATAAGTACATAAAGATTTTTCTTCATCAGCAAGTAGACTTTGCTGGGGTGGTATATTCTTGTTTTTGTTGTTCTGGGAAACTAGGCTAAGATAAAGAGCTGTGCTGCTTTTTATGTCACTGGAGACTATTTATAGAGAAGATATAATTCCAGTTGCCACTTAACAGCTGTCATTTCAAAAGAAAAAAAAGCGAGAATCCTGCCTGCACATGTCCTTTATTGGTCTTTTAGAGTAGGAAATATCCACTGCCTTTGCCATGCAGTGATGCCCTACCTACACCACGGTCTCCAAACAGCCTTCTCCCAGTCATGTAGAATCCAGGAGAAGGTAGGGCAAGAAATTGCAGGGAATGTCTTCTTTGTTGTGCATCTACACATAATGACACACACACACACACATCTATTATTATTATTATTATTATTATTATTATTATTATTATTATTATTATTATTATGGTCAATAACTAGCACAAAAAAAAACCTCAAACGTCAAAGTTGGAACATGACATGCATTTAGATATTACGAAACATTGTCAAAAGCAGAGTTCAAAGCCAGTATTGAATATGATAGACAAAACAGTATTAAATATTTAAATACTTAGATGACAAAAGTAAAAACTAAAGTATTAAAACCTTGTAAGACTATGACAGCATCTTGCGCTGACAAACTATTGCTGCTGCACAAAAGCTAGCAACTTTGGCAATAATTCTGGTCAGCCAGAAGGTAATTAACATAAAACTTTACGGATCTCCCTGGTAAACTTTTGAAATTTTGATTTATAAAATGTTTTCGAAGGTCTTGGTAAAAAGAACAGCAGTGAACAGATCTTTAGTGGAAATGACCACTGCTCGGTCATGTCCACTAAAGGTCTGTGGGAGGAGTAAAAGGAAATGGGTGGGTTCTGCACTATAACATAGACAATAGAGTTTTATTCTCTCCCAGATCCACCTGTGATTTCAGCTCATGTGTTAGTTATATTCACAAGTTTGTGATGTATCGGTTTTGAACACAGTCATGGAATCACTTTAAGAATGTGTGCCGCTTTTTTAGTCTTAGTGTTATATTTTAAAATGCTTCTATGCTATTTTAAGTTGACAGTGCTTTACTAGTATAACTTACCTATATTAAGTCTAGGGTTGACTTATCCACAGGTCAATATGAATATTGTCTCTCATAAAAAGGGAGCTATCCCCTTCTCTGAGTAGAGTGACAAGAGCTTAGAACCTAAAAGAAGCATCAACCCCTCTACTCTTCTCCACCATAAAACCGCTTGTGGCCTTTCTTGAATGCCTGGCTGGGGAAATGGTGGTTGCAGGCAGAGGTGACTGTCCCCTGAGGGAGAATTGGCTCTTTCCCCTTTCTGTAGAATGAGCCTCGACTTATCCATGGGTCATATCAAAATCTACAGTTCTGTGTCATAAAATAGTTTTGGCTACATCATTCAGTCATGCAGGTAGGATTCTGTCCTGGCTTTTTTTTTTTTAAGTAACAGCATCCTCGGGACTTTCTGATTCAGATTGGGACTTTGTGCAAGTGGGTTAACTGTCCCTTCCTGAAGCTGCTGTTCACCACACCCACATCCCAAATGATGTTGTTGCAGTGGCCATTGGGGTTTTCAGTGCAAGAGCATTACAGGGGTGAGAGCTTAACATCTCTTTCTTGCACTGAGGTCTCAGTCCTGATTGGGGACTTCTGCTGTTTCATGAAAAAGAGAAGAGGAGGTGATTTATTTTAATCACAGGACTCAAAGGAATAGTTAATATCCTATTTAGTTTGCTACAGTCTCTGCAAAACTCTTCCTGGCTATTGCAGGTTCACTCAGGAATGGGATTAAAGATGTGTTATTTAGAAAACAAACTTAAAACCCTCATTTTGCACACATCAAAGCATTCCTTTTGGGTCCTGGGCAGAAATATATATTGTATATCTGGGAGTGAAATGCTTCACAACAGGTAAAAGATCAGCCTGGTACGGATCCGCAAGCTCATTATATGTGTGTCTGTATTCACTTCTGGCCAGAAGATATTGTTGTTGATGATGATAATGATGATTTATGTTATTTAAAAGTTGGACTAATGTCTGCTGTATTAAAAAAATCCACAGCTGATTGGTCGAGGGCGATATGGAGCAGTCTACAAAGGTTCCTTAGATGAGCGTCCAGTGGCTGTAAAAGTGTTTTCTTTCACTAATCGTCAGAATTTTATCAATGAGAGAAATATATACAGGATACCACTAATGGAACATGACAACATTGCCCACTTCATTGTTGGAGATGAGAGATTCACTGCAGATGGACGGATGGAGTATTTATTAGTGATGGAATATTATTCCAATGTAAGTAATAATTCAGAGATTTTCTTGAAATCTAAGGGGAAATATATATTACGGTTTTTACATATAGTTAAAGAAAATGTAGTCCTTGAGAATTTTTATAAAGAAATAAATGTTTAAAAATCCCAACAAGCTAATTTTGTGGCATTGCATTGATGGATTATGTACAAACCCATTTCCAAGGTTTTGTATCATTCTAGCAATCTGTTCAAAAAGAGCAAGGCACCTAACAGAGGAGTTTTATAGAACACATAGTTTAATTGTAGCTTAGGAAGAATTTATTAAAAATTAATGTGCTACTCCAAATTCATTAAATATGTCAGCAACGTTTAACGAATTTGATACTTTAATCATCTCTGCAGTCAGTGGGACAAAAGAGAAAATGTTAAGATTTAACCCATCACTGTCCTAAAATCAGTGCACTGTCTATCCTTCTCTTGTGTAAATGAATGGTAGACTATGATTAAGGTTTGTGGAGGAGGGAAGTATGGTGCATACAGCTTATGCCATTGTGCAGGCCATGCTTAGTTGGCAAGTGGTCAGCTTTCACATAGAGATTTGATAGATGAGCTCATAGTTTGCTTAATCTGCTTTAAGTAATTTCAGTATTTGAAATAGTACAGATATAATCTATTCCTACTTGTTTTTGATTGACTTCTTACTAGCTTTGATTTCTCTTTTTTAAACCTTTTGTCATTTCCTCTTACATCTTTTCCTTTGTTATCATATTCTCTTTCCAGGGGTCTTTGTGCAGATATTTGAGTCTTCATGCTAGTGACTGGGTGAGCTCCTGTCGGTTAGCACACTCTATAACTAGAGGCCTGGCATATCTTCATACAGAGTTGCCACGAGGAGGTAAAGTTAGAAGGGATTTTAAGGTCAAATGATTTTTAGAGACCTAAGATGATGCCAATATTTCTATCACTAGAAATAAATTGAAACCATTTTATGTAGTTTGCTTATAGTGTGAATTCATTTAGAGTCATCTTTTTAAAATAAATATTTTTACACATCTGGTTTCAAGTGTTTGGTTTTGGTATGTTTTCATATATGCATGAATACAAAAATCAAAATGGATATATACACATTTCTGAATTCTCACTAAGTTATTTAGCTGTTAGACCAGTGGTTCCCAACCTGTGGTCCGTGGACCACCAGTGTTCTGCAAGAACTAAAATATGATCCTTGGCCTACACTGTTGCAACGGGAGTGACTGGTCTTGCGAAACCCTCTTATAGCTTTGAGGCTTATTAAATACGGTTTTCTGTGGGTGAGCAGCTGGCGACTATTAGATGGCATATGTTCTGTATCAGAAATTAGAGCTGATGTGTTCTATCCAATGCAGTTTTCTGAATCAGCACCCCAAATAACCGAATTAAATTTAAAGTTGACTAAAAACTGATTCGTAACCCTTTTGGTACTAATGTTGAAGACCTCAGTACCAAAGTAGTCCCTAGTCAAAGTGGTCCTTGGTCAAGTGGTTCCTGGTTAAAAAAAAAAAGGGGGTGGGGGTGGGAACCACTGTGTTAGACTGTGTTCAAATAAGAACTGCACCATATGTTGAACACTTGAATTTGTCGTATCTCTCTTGTCAGTGTATGCAGTCCTCTTTGAAATGCACATCCCTGCTTCTCTTTGTATGCATATGTGGGGTCGTGTATGTTTTCTAAATGCAGTGTGCCTATCAATACTGATTTTGGTACTGGCATTACAGATAAACAAAATGTTTGTAGAAGTTGTGCTGTAGGGGAAAGGGTTTTTTTACTCCTTAAAAAAAACCGGAGATGATATACGTATGTTTACATATGTGCCCTATAAAGAATGGGAGATGATCTATGGCTTGTTCAAATGTTGTTGGATCAACTCCCTTGATCACTCACCATTAGCTAGGCTTACTAGAGCTGATGGCAGTTTCAGTCGAACAACAAACTGCCCAACGCTGTTGTAACTACAAACAAATACTAAAAGATCTCTGATTTGTTGGGTGGAGAAAATTGCATCACTTTCCCCTATTAAAAAGCTATTTTGAGCACTCATGTAGTGCAGCAACTAAATATTCCCATAAATCATCATAGGAAGCATGGAGAATTATTTGCTAAAAGGCCTGTATTTTGTAAAAGAAAAGAAATGATTAGAAATTCTAAAACAGTGTATTCATATATCCAAACAGATTGCTATAAACCTGCCATATCCCATCGTGATTTGAACAGTCGCAATGTATTGGTGAAGAATGATGGGACATGTGTCATCAGTGATTTTGGTCTCTCCATGAAGCTAACAGGAAATAGACTTGTGCGCCCAGGGGAGGAGGACAATGCTGCCATTAGTGAGGTGAGTATATAAAAGGAATCAAAAGAAAATAAGTATTTTGGAAATACCTTCACAAACCTCAACAAAGAATGTGCTTATCTGCTGCTTTGAGCATAAATAATTGATGTAAAATATGAAGAGTTCATGGGGTTATTCTCAAGTCCCTTGGCTAAATAAAACAAATGACACTTACAGACACCTCTGACCCATCTTAGCCATTAAAATGTTCTTAAGTGTGGCTTTATCTTTTCTTGGTTGCTCCTTGAAAATAGGGAGGAGGAAGTCAGAGTGTGAAGTACATTGAGTTCTTAGTATCTGATACAGTGACCTAGTATGGTTTGAATGGGCTGACATTAGGTGTGTGTGTGTGTGTCCTGCTAATTTTGAGATAGGTTGGCTGCTTGGTAACCTTTACTGCTGAAGGAGAGAGGCTTTCTGTCCTCTTCCCATTATAGCAGAGATTATTCTGTTTCTAAAATATAGCTGGATCTTTCTGTTCATTCTGTGACATCAAATCCAGTAGGTATTCTTAAGAGGAGCCTGTAAACCGATCCTTTGAGTTTATCAATGTGGTGGAGTCTGCTTCTAGATTATTTCATCCATACATCAGAAAGATGCAGTGTATAAAGTAGCCTTAGTTTATAGTCATTGACTCAGTGGACATTAACAGTGTGAAATAATGTTCATTAGTTAGGCTGATAAACTGTAGTTCAATTTTCATACTGTAGTCATTAACAAAAACAGACAATGATGTCAAAGAAGCAGTAGTGAGATAGTAGCGATAGGTAGCATTTCCCACAATTGCAGTAATTAAACCTGAGAGGTGGAGCCGTGGAGAGTCCCCTCTGCCGATAGTTCTGTAACTAAAAAATGTGATTGAATCTGAAAGGGTGAAATTGAGAGAGGATTAATGTCTGCTTTTTAACTCTGGATAAATTGAAATTCCCTGTTGGCATTAGTGTTTGCCAGAGAAATTTGATTTCACTCTCAAGCTACAGAATGAAATGTGTTTCTTGATGCTAATCTAAAAGATGAGTGTTCTCAAAATAGCAATTTTCCAACCGCATTTTTATAGAAAATGGTATAAAATAATGCAAAGAGGCTGTTATAATTTTCAGAAAGGTGAGAGGGAGCTCCTCTTTTTTCAATCTTGATGAATGGTAGGAGAGGGGTAATCCAATCCTGTCACTTATTCAGTGTGAATGAATAAATACATATATTCTTTTAGAACTATCTGTCCTACATGCAGCTGTCACTCTTATTGCACCTGTTTGAAATAAGAGAAGGTTCACTGTTAACCCAAGGAAATACTGAACATTTTAGCTTGGCATTCCTGTGTGTATATTTCTCTGTTTCTTTCATAAAAGAACTGTTAAAGTATTAAACCATGCTACTCAAAACAGTTAGTGAAAATGAGGACAATTAAAAGGGCTATTGTTGTTAATTTAAATGCAGTGCATAAAACCAAACCAGAAAGCAGGATCATGATAAACCTGTGTATTATTCTTGATACTGTGTTGAGAATAAAAGCAAACATAATGGGAAAAATCCTTCCAAAATATTTTAAAAGATAGGAGTTGTAAACAAGATTTCATAAATATAAATGAAATGCTACAATTTTTTTTTACAGGTTGGTACAATCCGCTACATGGCTCCTGAAGTGTTGGAAGGAGCAGTGAACTTGAGAGACTGTGAATCGGCTCTAAAGCAAGTAGATATGTATGCACTAGGTCTAATCTACTGGGAAATTTTTATGAGATGCACAGACTTGTTCCCAGGTAAGACATGGATTGCTGGAACTCTCCTACTTTGATTTCATCTGCTGTAGCCTTTGTTTTTTGCTTTTTATTTTTTTTGCAGTTGAATAGCGAGATACACATTTCCTCTACTGCCCAGAATAATTATTTGTTTGCTGTAGTAAACTCAGTGCCATCTAGTGTTGCAGACTGGAATTGATTTTTTAAAATGGGGAATATGTAGCCTTGGTTACATAATAACTTAATCCTACCCAATAAGCTTTCGGTATTAAGAAAAGCTTACAAGCTTAGTAGTAGTGCTGTTGAATGGATACCAATATGCAGACTATAGTCAGTATTCCACTCCACCACATTGGGGCTAATGGTAGACCAGGGACAATAGAGGTCCTACACACACAGCACAATTCATACCAAGAGGAAAATTTCACCATTAAGTATTTTCAAAGTACTTGAAATTTGTTTCAAATGTAACTAAAGAGAAACCTCTGTGTAAATACAACCCTTAAAACAAAATGTCAGAATTTTGTAGAATACATGTAGAATATTCTTTTGAGAGCAAAATGATCAACTCTGGTTCATAAATATGTAGTCCTTTTGGCAGCCAACATCATATAAATCTCTTTAGTTCAACAACCAACTGGGGTCCAACTGCCAAATTGTCTTATTTTCTTTCTGGGGAGAATCTACACTTAGCTACATAGCCAAATTCATTGTAAAACCCGCCCACCTGAGAGATCTCTTTATCTCACAAAATGGGGTCCCTTGTCATAGCAATGAACTTATCTAAATTCTCCGACTGATTCTTTTACATTCATTGCCCTATTTCTTCTGCTTTCATCTTTTAATTTAATCCTAATTTCCTAAATGTATTATTTGATCAAGTTTTATTGTGTTTTAATTTATTTTTGTTAACGATTGGAGGACTTTTAGGATAGTGATTAGTGTCTATTTGTGTGTTTTTTTATCTTTTATTGTTATGATCAGTGGACTAATCAATAAACAGATCTATCTATCTTTAGTTCATACTTGTGATTTTAAAATAAAAGTCCAAATTCATTCATTACAGTATCAGACTGAGACAGTCTGGTGTCTTTCAGTATGATGCTCATATTTGATCATCTAAAAAGATGACAGATATACCAACGGTATGGAAAAGCAAAATCTGCCATGAATTCATAGTAATAAAATCCAAACTAAGTAACAAGAAGCTGTGAATGGTGACATCTGGGACCTTTGGAATGTTGATAGAAAAAAGAAAAAGAATGGGGGAAGATGGCCTAGTCCAGTCCTTTATGAATGGGTGCCTGAGTTAGTAATTTCAACAAATATCCCACTTATACAGAAAACAGAAAACAATAGAATTCAACGTATAATTGTATAAACCTGTTATACTGTTCAATTTCACAGTAATTTTCAAACAATATTATATGAGTTTTTGTACAGTGACTCTGAAATGGTATCAACGCCGTGTCTTCTTATGTTGAATGCATATGAATCAGCCATCCACGACTGGTTTCGGCCTTATTCCAGGCCTTCCTCTGGTGGACTTAAAATTATTATATGCATCAAAATTTGCTGCAAATATATATATATATTGAACATCATATACTGAAATACATTTGAAGATACTTGCAAAGTTATAAACTTAGCACTTATTATATACATCAACATTTGTTGCACATATATCCATTAAACATCATATGTTATATGTTGAATTCTATTGTTTTCTATTTTCTGTATAACTGGAATATTTGTTGAGATTACTAGTCCAGTCCTTACCAGTTTGTAGTATCTTGAAGGTAGACTTTATTTGAGGGAAGGGAGAATTTCAGAAGGTCAGAATGTTTTATTTGTTGAATAGACATGGTTCTCCCCACACTTTTTTCTTTTAAGGTAGTGGTTCCCAATCTTTGGTCCTCCAGTTGTTTTGGACCCAGCTTACCAGCTATTAGGAATTGTGGAAGCTAAAGTCCAAAACATCTGGAGGGCCAAAGATTGGGAACCAGCACATTAAGGAACTGAAAGTCTGTTGCTTCGTGCTTGCCAATCTCTTTCTCCACAAAGTTCTCTATAGAGTATACTTTTCTGGTTACCTAAGCTCTCAAGATGGTAAAGAACAATTTTCTTTTGTGGGCAGAATAGCATCAACCCAACCCTTAAGAATCTCTTCAATTTTGGCCTTTCAAGAATTTTATATAATAGGACCTTTATCATGGAGCTACATCTCTTTTTATGTTTATAAACTAACAGTCCTTGTAGAAGAGCATCATATCACATAGATGCTTCTAGTCTGGGAACATTAGCTTTCTTATCATAGAAGTAAATTGGTCTGGCACACTTCATCTATAGACATTTCATAATAGCATTGGATTATTACAGGATCTAGGCCTGCATCTTTTATCATATATGGAATATGTATTCTGTAACTATACAACTCTGCACTGCTGCAAGGTTGCAGTCTCAAGTAGCTATAGTGCAGTGGATGTATTCTTGCTTTATTTACCAATTAATTACAGTGAACAGTATCACCAGTTAAATGTTCCCTACATCTCCTCTACCATCTATATAACAAACCAAATTCTGATTCAGATTGAAGATAATAGATAGCCCACTCTTGCTAACTTGTTTTAATTTGTGTTTCCACCCCCCATCACCCCCACCACCAGTGCCTTAATTGTAAAGTACTTTTATATAACTTTCTCTGCAAACAGGAGAATCAGTGCCAGAGTTCCAGACAGCTTTTCAAACAGAAGTTGGAAACCATCCTACTTTTGAAGATATGCAAGTCCTTGTTTCAAGGGAAAAGCAAAGACCAAAATTCCCAGAGGCCTGGAAAGAGAACAGCTTGGTGAGAAGCAAAATGCATTCTGTTTTTTCCTTCCATTTGACAGTACACTGCTAGAATATGGAAATAGAAACACAATGTTGGTTTAAAGTTCAAAATGTGTTATTGTATTTGCTAAGATATTGGAGATACTATGTGAAAAATAAAAAATGAACTGAAATTTCCTATTTCAGTTGTGTATGCTGTGTTAATTTTTGAAATAATTTTAGTCATGATTTGAAGGGTCACTATAATTTGAGCACTATTAGACAAATATATATTTTAACATACGTTTGATTACACAGATTTAGGAATGTAACCCTACCTAAAAGATTAACTGGCTGTAGAGGATTAAAGATGAAGTGGATATATACATTCTGTTGAACTCCCTCAGCAAATGAGGCATTCATTTTTCACTCTACCAGCTTATGCACATAGATCTGGCACTCCTGGTCTTTCTGGTAATGGTAGACCTCCAATGGGGGCATGCCAGGTTATTTTCCTATCTATTGAAGCCAATGGGGGAGGATTTGGGTGGGTGTGTGTGGGGGGGGGGGTATTTTCTAGAAAATAATATGATAAGACCACCCACACATATACTGTGCACACAGACTGGCAATAGTCAGCAGGATTACAGAAGTGGCAGGTGATCCATTTCACACCTTCTGTTGTCTCATTCATGATTGCTTTGCTAGATGTCATTACAATGTCAGTCCAGCACAGCCAAAAACACAGTACTATTTTGAAGTATTTGATTGAAGACTTTTTCATTTGCTTTGTTCCTTAATTGAAATTTACAAAAGAACCAAACCTTTAGAAGCAATTTTACCCTGAATCATCTGAATATAGCTTTCCAAATGATTGCTTTAGTTACCACACATGCAAAATAAGCTCAAATTCCCTGTACCTCAAAGAAATCATGCACCATGTTTATAATTATTCATTCTCTTGCCAAATGTACATTAGCAGAATTGCTTTTGAAAGCAAGCTTACTTGTCTCAAATTAGATCCTGTTGGCTAGTCCCAGGTAGACTCATTGAATGAACTTTGACTGAAAAATCAACATATTAGTAAATCCACTTGATTCAGTAGTTCAGCTACAGTCAGGAAAACAAAGAGCTTGGGGCCAACATATTGACATACCTTTTACAGACAAAATTTACCAGTGTTGTCATTAAAGTTACTGATATCTTTGAGTGTGCAGCCTTATAAACTCTTATATGCTGCTTGTTTCTGGTTATGTGGGATTGTGCTGTTAAAGTATTAGAATCGGAAATGATATTTTGAAGTTGGAAAAAGTCTGAGAAAGAGTCTGCCCAAATTACCTTGCTGTTGGAGCAACTCCCAGTGAGGTTAGAGCATATTTAGTTGGGGGAAAAGCCAGAGTAATGGGGGTGGGGAATACAGCCATATAAAATTATGCATAGAGAAAGTGGGAAAAGAGCAATGCCTCTTTCTCTAGAATCCAAGATCGTCGGTGAACTTAACTCTGAGAGAGTCAGGACAGACAAAAGCAGATACATATGAAAGTATAAGACAAGAAAATATAAAGACACAGCACATAAATGAAATGAAAATTTGCTTCCACAGGGTGTGGTTATGGCCCACATCTTAGATAGCTTTGAAAGAGGGTTAATAAAATGCATGAAGGATAAGATGGCAACTAGTCACAATGCCAATATACTAATTTGATACTGCTCTGATTGTCAGTCACATCAGCAAGCGAGCCATATGTCCTCTTATGGTCTTCCCTTGGAAAATTGGTTGGCCAGAGTGGGCCGAACTGAATCGGCCTTTGGTCTGATCCAGCACAGCACTTTTTAATCTAATAATAGCACAATGTGACCTTTTAAAACACTTGGTGTTCTTAACTTTTACAAAATCTAATTTCATCATATTTAAGTGATAAATGATTTAATGTATATTTAGTATTTTAAAACTCTCATTGTTGATGTTTTAAATAATCAATTAATTTGATTTTATAGCACCATAAAATTCTCAGATATTGTGTAGAATATATATATTTAAATAATAAACATAAGAACAAACAAGTGATATTAGCTTACCTATTGATGATTAGAAAAAAGAAAAAAATCTAGTCTCATTTTACTTTACAGGCTGTGAGATCACTGAAAGAGACAATAGAAGACTGTTGGGATCAGGATGCTGAAGCTCGACTGACGGCCCAGTGTGCAGAAGAAAGGATGGCCGAACTTATGATGATTTGGGAGAGAAATAGATCTGTTAGCCCAACAGTTAATCCTATGTCTACAGCTATGCAAAATGAGCGGTATGTAGTACTATGTGTGGAGCTCATGTGCATCCTCTTCCCAAAACGTGTGCAGCGGTAGCAATATAACAATTGTTAAAGCTTACTGTGTATGCATTAGGTGCTTTCTCTCAGGGTTGTGCTTTGGTAGCAGGGATATCACATTTTCTGAGCACAGAAATCACAATAATTTGGTACCTGGGAAAATTTGATCCTTCCCTAGATAGCATCTCAGTTGTCATGATTGTTGTGTGGGATGTGGATTGAAGTGTCACAGTCCTTGATGACTAGTTTTGTGTTATACTTAGCTGCAAAATTATCATGTCACTTCTATACATTTAGCCATATCTTGCAAAAACATGATAAACACAGATATTTCCCCCCATCTCAGTTATCATCCACAAGACATAATGAGATGAAAGTAAAAAAAGAAATTTGGCAAGAATACCACATAAGGGCAGACCAGCAATTGTGGGTTGCTTTGAATTACCATATATAAAGGCATTTGCTGTGCTAGTCTTGGTGTGGTGGAGTTAAAGACAAACTGTTGCTGGGCCTAGCACAGTTTTGTGTTAAATTGTTTTGCTCAGTATGAAAATTGTGCAGAAAGAAAATAAACTTGTAAGACTGTTGAACTGCTGTTCATGTTGATGTTAGCGTTAATGAATGTGAGAGAAGACTGCTTAATCTTGATGAATATGATGCCAGTAGAGCCATTCCCACAAGAAAACTCTTATGATAATTGTGTTTGCAGGATGGAACTATCCATTTTGCATCTTAAATACATATATGGTGAGAAAATATAACTAGTACCCACATTGTCTTAATTCTAATAACTTTCTGCTTTTTGTGTGTTTTTTTAAAGAAACTTGTCACACCATAAGCGTGTGCCAAAGATCAGACCTTATCAAGATTATTCTTCTTCATCTTACATTGAGGACTCAATTCACCACAATGATAGCATAGTAAAGAACATTTCTTCTGAGCTTTCATTGTCAAGCACACCACTGACACTTGGGGAGAAGAACAGAAACTCAATTAACTATGAGCGGCAGCAAGCACAAGCCCGTATTCCCAGTCCTGAGACTAGTGTCACAAGTTTGTCAACCAACACAACCACCACCAACACAACAGGCCTCACTCCAAGCACTGGCATGACTACCATATCCGAAATGCCTCACTCAGGTGACATAAACATCAGTGCAGGAAATGGTGTTGGGCCGACCCCTGGTTGTCTACAACTGACAGAGGAGGATTTGGAGACCAACAAATTGGATCCAAAGGAAGTGGATAAGAACTTGAAAGAAAGCTCTGATGAGAACCTGATGGAGCATTCCCTTAAGCAGTTCAGTGGCCCAGATCCACTCAGCAGCACCAGCTCCAGCTTGCTCTACCCACTAATAAAGCTGGCAGTAGAAGCAACAGGGCAACCGGACTTCACACAAACTGGAAATGGTCAAGCCTGCCTAATTCCAGATGTTCAGCCTGCTCAGGTGTACCCTCTTCCTAAGCAACAGAATCTGCCAAAGAGGCCTACCACCCTACCCTTAAACACCAAAAACTCCACAAAGGAGCCTCGGCTGAAATTCGGAGGGAAGCACAAATCAAACTTGAAGCAAGTAGAAACGGGAGTTGCCAAGATGAACACTGTCAGTGCTGCAGAACCTCATGTGGTAACAGTGACCACAAATGAAGTGGCAGGAAGAAGTCATACCATTAACTCTCATGCTGTGCCAACCCAGTATGTCAATGGTACAGTGCCATCTGGCCAGTCAACCAGCTCAGGAGTACACAGGGCCCAGGAAATGCTGCAGAACCAATTCAGTGGCGAGGACAGCCGTCTGACTATCAACTCAAGCCCTGACGAACATGAGCCCTTATTGAGGCGGGAGCAGCAAGTGAGCCATGATGAGGGTGTTCTGGAACGTCTGGTTGATCGGAGAGAGCGCTCGCTGGATAATGGCCGAACAAATGCCAATAACAACAACAATAGCAGCAGCAACTCATGTCCAGGACAAGGTGCCTCTACTCTCGTCAATATGAGGACAGCACCAAATTCTGAACAGACCCACACTAAAAGAGCACAGAGGCCCAACTCCCTGGATTTATCAGCCACAAATATTTTAGACAGCTGTAGCATGCAGTGTGAGTACTGGTGGGATTTAAAAGGGTGTGTTGACAAAATGTTCTTAGAAAGTAATTGTTTTTAATGTGGCTGACAAATAGTCAAGTTGTTGTTCACTTTCCTTGTGCCAAACAGATAGAGATGACCATAGCTACTTCAGTTTTTATTGCTCTACTTAAACTGTTTCAGTTTTTTTTCCCAACTGAAAGTATTCCTTGAACTTTATATATATATTTTATATACAACCTGCCTCTCATTGTAGTATCAAAATAATCTTTGGAGAGGTATTGAACATTTCTGCTTCCTGATGAAATCGCAGTAGTACCAGAACAACATAGCAGCAACTTGTATCATCATCTTAGAAGTGTAAGCCTTTGTACCTGGCAACAGCTGACTTATCTTTTTTGGAGGGGGAAGTATAATGGGAAAGCTCCCCAAGCCAATGTTTTCTAGTTGAATGAAACAAGTATTTTAGTTTTTGACTGAAAGATTAGCAAGTCTTTTAAACAGATCTATTACAGCTAAAGGTATGCATTATATTCTAATATAGTTTGCGATGTAATACATTATCCTTTTTTAAATGAAAATATTATTGTTAATTCTTCCACATTTTAGAATACTTTTATATTCTGAAAACTCTGTAGTGTACTGCAGATGCTCTACAGTGGATGAGCAGACATTATAGAAAGTGATAATAGCACATTACTATATATGCCTTAATTGGTTTCGTTGGATCCCAGTACAATTATTTGTCTTTATTGTATTCCTGGAAGTTAGCAGTTGTGCTACATTTGTATATAAACAGATTGTTTTATTTTTAGCAGTTATAGCAGTTTTAAATTAATCTCAAAGTAAGTACTGCACAATTAAACAGAAATTAACACTTTCAAACCAGGAACAAAAAAAATCAATTTTTGTTAAATAGTGTAATGGGAGAGCTATCACAGCTAGTGTTCTGGGTTTTTACATTAAAGTAATCCATTACCTACAGTCAAATAGGCTACTTGTGTAATTCACTCTCAGTGAAAGGATCCAGAGTAGGGGATATCAGATCTCTCTTCAGAAATACAATCCTTTCAATCCATGTTTATCATTGTTCCAGTTGACACATTTATAAATCAGTGGTAAAAGTATCAAAGCTATTTGGTAGGTGCGTTTTAATGTTTGTGGCTATTTGAGATGTTATTGGTTTACCAAGACTGACTCATTTGAAGTAGGCTGAGCTTGTTTTCTAGTATTTTGGCTAAGGTTATGTCTCCTTCCTTTTTTTAGTGAGCGAGTCATCCCTTGATGGCAAACCTGGCTCAGGAGAAAAGATCAAAAAACGTGTGAAAACACCCTATTCCCTTAAGCGGTGGCGTCCTTCCACATGGGTCATCTCCACAGAACCACTGGACTGTGAAGTCAACAACAATGGTGGTGATAGGGTGGTTAGTTCTAAGTCCAGCACAGCTGTTTACCTTTTAGACGGAGGTACTGCCACAACTATGGTGTCTAAGGATGCAGGAGTGGACTGTCTGTGAATTGTTTGAAAGCTGACAAAATGACATTTTTGCATTCTGTTAAAAAAAACACGCAGAAGACATTTTTTAAAAAAACAAACCTGCTTTCTTCTGTCAGCATCCCTTACCGAAGAGTTGCTTTAAATAGATTTCAGCTATGCAGACAATTTTTAGCTTATGCTTCCATATTTTTAATTTTGTTCTTTTTTTTAACATTTTTGCACTTTTTATTTAGTATTGCAAAATTACATCTGTCTGTCTTTGACCACAGAATTATATATATGTGTATTAAATGCTGTGGTCTCAAAATATTTTTTTTAAAAAACAAAAAGAAAAAAATGTATTGCTGATAATCAGTTTGGACCCGTGTCGAAGGTCACTAAAACAGATAAGCCAATTGGCAACAGTGGTGTCTGCTGTTCATGTTTTGAGTTCTGTGCACAAGTCCATTCGTATGTTTGTGTGTGTCAGAGTGTATTATCTTTTGAACTCCTTGTTTTTCACTTGTGTTATGTTGGAATGTGCAATAGTCTGTAGTTCACAGTATGCTTTCTGTTTCCAGCCCCATTACACCTTCTCCCTTTTGGAATTAAAAAAAATTAATCGAACAGTTTGGCAGCCAATGGTTTCCGACTGTGAACTCCGCAAAGCATAATCAGCTTTGAAGCAACTGCTTGTATCTATCAGTATGTGTGCTTTGGGATCGCAGTTAATGCATGCTTTTCCCTGCCTTGAAAAGGCTTAAAACACTAAAGAACAAAACTTTTTCTTTCATCCTTCCAGGCTAATGCAATGTAATTCTTTTTTTCATAGTGAGTGATACAGGTTTGGAAAACTCTAAGAAAGAAAATATTGAACAAACTGTAAGGAATCAATTTGTGCAACCAATGGGAGTAATTATCTTCCCAATAAGCTTGATTCTTAATAATAACCATGTCTCCTGTTGGATGGTTATAGGCCAAGAAAGTGGGATAGTTGATTTGTGGCATATCTTTCATAAAATCAGGATGCATGAAAGAATTGAAATTGTATGTGTGTGGAATCTGACCCAAGCTGTCTACCATTTTATTTTATCTTTTATACAATTTTACAATTATAGTTTGTATTTATGTACATGCTTTTTCTTAATGAATGCTGTCAGTGCTTATTGAAAAGTACATTTTAACCTACTCTTGATAAGTTGTGTGAAAAACCTATTGTAGCTAAGTTGTGAAGACAGGATTTTAAATAGAAAGACGAAAGTGTGAACTTGGTTGTTTGACAGTAATGTGATATGTTCCGATGGCTCTGTTATTTTTACTGCCCAAATGATTGCGATCAGCATTACATCAGATTGCCTATGTGTCATTTACTAGTTTAGAGAATAGTGAGATGGATTCATTTTCTTCAGACTCCCACCTCCTTTTGCATTATTGCTTCTCTTCAAACACTACTCCTGCTTATCATGACAACATATCAAGTTTGTTTTCTCCAGAAGAATTCAAAATATATCTAACACTACATATTTGTGCATGGCTAATAAAATGTCTGGCCCATTAACCACCATTTTGAAACTCAGTAGGGACATCTGTCTAAACAGAAATAGTCAATATTGGCCTTTGTCCCAGCATGAAATGAAGCCTTTTTGTCTCAATTGTTATTCAGGCTTTTGTTAACATTATCAATATATATCTATATATCTATATAAGCTACATAGCATCTAGTATAGTATGTTCTGAATGAAAACATTAGTTTTGTATTGTCATGATCCAGGACTGACTAAACAATTATTTAGTCCATACAATAAAATCTCTGCAAAATATATCCACCTTAGTTTCTGTCAGACTGTTCAGTTATGTTTTTCAGATGTCTTCTAAATTGTTTTTGTTAATCCTGTTCTTACCAACATTTAGGTCTTGAACACTGTCCCTGGGGCCACTATAAACAGCCAGTTACAGAGCACTAAACCTCATAAGCTGATTCATTAAGCTAGCAAAAGTGGTTGCTTGAATTAGCTTAAATGAGAAAAAAATCTGCTTCAAGATACAATAAGTAAATTAGGGTAATATATAGAATTCAGTATCTTAATTAATAGATAAGGCTCTCCTTCAAAAAGATCACTGTTTTATGTCATTTGATGAAGGTGTAGAAAATATTCCAGTCAAATTATTTCATCTTCCACCTCAATACCCACATTTTTAAACGTTTTCACTTTCCCATTCACATTTCTCAGTAGCAACACTCTCCTAGTTCAGTAGTTCAGTGACATATGATCTTCCACCTCCTTTCGATCAATTTTTTACAATTTGATTAGTCTGTTCATTAATAGTCTGTATTTTCCCCAATGTGCCTGGTGGATATAGGGATGTTGAAACATGCACATAAAATCTTAAATATTATGTCATATTTTAATCACATTGTTTTCTGGTATTCTTCTGGTACTCAAAATGTATTGAAAACCATTGTGTGGTTCGATTGTGATTTCACTGGTGCACCAACTTTAAAGGGTCATGATAATTTAAATCATCCCTCTTTGTGGCCCTGTCTACACTGCCAGATTATCTACTTTGAATTGGATTATATGGCAGCATAAACTCATATAATCCAATTCAAAGCAGATAATGTGGATTATCCACTGATAATCTGGATTATATGACAGTGAAGAAGGGGCCTGAGTTGTGAAACTGACATCTTCTTTCCCTCCAGTGATTCTTTCACCATTATCATGCAGGGGGATCTGTGTTGTATTCTTTAACATACCAACAATATGTCAATGAAAAGACTTTTACTGAGGGAGATAAGTACTTTGGAGTAAGATAGTATATTGTCAGAAAATACATACTGTTATGATTTGGTAAGAACAAATTTCTAAAAATTGATACTACCTTTGGGTCAAAGTTCCATTACAAAACAACTCACCGAACATTTATTTTTCTAATAGTAATTTCACCCTTTAATTCTACATACATACACCCCAGAAACAATATACTCATCCAGTAACTGAGGGGAAGAGGAATGGTGTATGCATGAAGCAGTTGCACTCTTGTGGTTATGCTCAAATCCTATAAATAAGCCCCCCAAAAATAAAAAAGATATGTTAATCAAGTATAGTTGGCCCTCCCTATCTATGGATTCAACCATCCATAGCTTGAAAATAGTTTTTTTTAAATCAAAAAGTAAACCTTTTTGCCATTTTATATAAGGGACACCATTTCACTATATAATGGGATTTGGCATCCCTGGATTATGATATCCACAAAGGTTCCTGGAACCAAACCTCAACAGATACCTAATGTACCATATTTAGTTCATAGAGAACCAGTGTAAAAAAGATCATCCCTTGATGGCATTGAGGATTTCACATTAGATTTAATAAATGCAGCAATTTATGTGGCTCTTGTCATATCATTTGAATATTTTGCTCAGGAACAGTACATAAGTTCTTTGAGTGAATAACTGAGGAAATGACAGACAGACAGATGTCTTTGGACACAGTGCCAACAGTATACATTAATATCAGTGAAAAAAACTGTCCCATCTGCAACACTGCTAAAGCCTACTTCCTTCATTATATTTTTCTATATGATTATCCTTGATAAACTATTTCAGTGTAAATATTGCTATAATATTTATTAAAGCGTATTCCATCAGTGCATAGAATGAAGCACAGTTTCTATTTTGCTGTATGCAATGCTTTTATTTCCACTCATCAAAAGCCTCTTTTCTGTATTGCAGGTTTTTTGAAATATATTGTATCATATCATATGATTTCAGTAGGAAATGCTGAGTCTACAATTACAGGCTTAGCTATTTTTACTTTGTTATTAGTTACTTAATGTATCTGTTGACCTTCAGGTTAATTTTGAACCATAGCTCATTCACTTATCCATAACAAATGTTGCCAGCAACTTGGCTTATTTTCCTCCTTCATTCCTTGCTTTCTTTTTGCCTTCCTTCTTGCCCCCACAATTTAGTTTTCTTGTACTGAGAGAGCTACTTTAAGGAGTCTGTTTTGGCAGGCAGGTTGCTTCACAGTATAACCTATTATCCTCTGCAACTTTTTGTGGCTCTTTTTTTTTTAAAAAAAAAAAGGAGAAGTACCTAGGACCACTAAACTAGAAAGTCAGTTTCATCTCTGGGCCCTTCCACAGAGTCATATAACCCAGAAAATCAAGGCAGAACATCCCACAATATTTGGTTTGAACTGGGATATCTGAGTCTACACTGCCATATATTCCGGTGCAAAGCAGATAATGTGGGATTTTATTCAGCTGCGTGATACAGTTTAGCTTTTGAAGGTCACAGGATGCCATAGGCCAGTGGTTCTCAACCTGGGGTCCCCAGATGGTTTTGGCCTTCAACTCCCAGAAATCCCAGCCAGTTTACCAGCTGTTAGGATTTCTGGGAGTTGAAGGCCAAAAACATCTGGGAACCCCAGGTTGAGAACCACTGCCATAGGGTTCCTGATCAGTAGAAGCAGAATTCAAAATGATCTTAACAGATTAGAAAGATGGGCCAAAACTAACAAAATGAAGTTCAATAGTGACAAATGCAAAATACTTGGAGGCTGCTTTTCCTGCGCAGGCCCGTAGCCAGGATTTTGATTGGGGGGGGGGGGCTGAGTCTGAGTGAAAGAGGGTCTACCCTAGCAAACCTTTTGTATCGTTACCCCAATACCCCCATGCATATGGGATATATTGATCATGGTGATCAGATCATGATATGAATAAACATAACAGTTTAAATAATGTACCAGTAAGGCCTTCTCGCAGAACACCCTGAGAATTTCGGGGGGGCGGGGTGAAGCCCCTCAACACCCCCCCCCCCCCCCAAGCTACATGCCTGCTTTGGAGGATTAGAGATTGGGGGGAAAGCGATATTGATTGGAGCATGGGTAAGTGAAATGGTGGATATTGAATCTGTGGATAGGAGGACCGTACTGTATTACAGAGAGCTCTCTGTATGTAGGACAAAGGAGTACTTTCCCAAGGAAAACCACCTGGATTCAGCTTTTCCCATTTTTCAGTGATGCATATTTATTCTGACCCTTCCCCTGAGAAAGTTTGATCTTTTGAGAGTGACCAGTGACTGCAGCTGACAAATCAGTCTTTGATAAGTGCTCAATTTGAGCGCTTGCAAAAGGCTTTAGGGGGCATTAAGAGTAACCTCTACAATTCCCTTCATCAACCTGAAGACCACAAAAAGGTGATGGAAGCAGTGCTCCAGAGACCCCAGAGAAGCCACTTTCTCCCCATTGTCAAGTGTAACATTTAAAGAGTGCTAAATGGAAGGGCAAAAGTGGCATTTTAAACCGTTTGTTCATACTGATTTCCTCCTTAAAATAATTTCTAGAGATAATAATGGCAATAATAAATAATATGATATCTTTGTGCTCTTGAGTAGTCCAGAGTTATTTTTCCACCTTATGTAAAATGTTTGAATATAGAAATTACTAGATGCTGCCAGAATGCTTTAAGGCTACATCTACAAAGCTGTTTTACAAACTGGAGCAAAACAGCACCAAGTCCTTTTTAACAGTACCTTTAAAATATCAAATATATTGTTCCATGAAACTCACTAAGCTGCTGTGTAGTAGAGAAGCCATGACATTACAATACAGTTAATGAGAAACAAAACAAACTCAATCATGTAAAATACTTTATTACATCTGGTAGACTCAAACCTAAGAAAACGGATAAATAAGACGTTTGATCAGAAAACAGGAAATGTCTAATTTTCTCACTTTTTTCCATATTTCCTTTACCTTTGGTGCAGCGGTATTTTCTAAATTGTTTACAAGGATTTGATTCAGGTTTGGGCAACCTGAAGTTTTGAGTCTTTCTCAATCTAATCTTTTTTTGATACCAATACAATGGTGTGCATTGTATTCTTGATGGTGTTCTTGCAGCTATATCCTTGGGAAGCACTTAAAGATTTTGAGAATGGGGAAAATCCAGAGTATGCATTGTATTGGTTTGGGTGTAAGGCTGAAAGCTTTCATTGACAGACATGAAGTATTGAAACACACTTTTTGATGGAGTTGCCTTCTTTCCTACAGAAATACCTAGGGATAGTGGCCAACCACTGGGTGATACATATAGATGTTGTATGAAGCTGTGTGTATATTCTTGAGCTGGAAAAACACAATGGGCCTCATCAAACTAGATAAAATATCCACATAAAATTCGGTATCTGCCTCCTGCAGAATTCCGGGGTTTCTTATTTGGGGGAGGGGGAGCCTTTAACAGTCTCACTAAACTACAAACCCCAGAATTCTGCAAGAGGCAGAAATTGGATTTTAAGTAGATTTTTTCCTCTAATGTGATGAAATGGTAAGCTTCATTGCAGTTCTATCACGGTAAGATGTCAAGAGGGTGAAAGGATCCCTCAAAGGCAATGTCTTGATAGTCAGTCATTTTGTTATTGTAGCCTTCTCTCTCTCTCTCTTTACTGCTGAAATGCTGAATTTATTAGTGATCAGTTTTACTACTTTTGTATAAGATGACCTTAAACTTGCTACGCTGTCTAAGTTGTGTATTGCAGAAAAGAGTGACTATGAACGAAACGTATTGCTTTTTTAAAATCATTTGTGGATGCCACTACAAAAGCTGACATTGCTGAAAGCCACTTCAAGAGTTTTCTATGAACACTAGTAACAAAATGCTTTGTTATAAATGAACATATATAAAGACTGTATTGTTACAAAGAAATCGGATGAGAACATTAAAAAATATTATTTCGGTTTGGGGAGGGGAGGGGAGGGTGGGCGGGCAGGCAGGAAAAGGTTTGCTGTAAAATGATGCATTAATCCATTTAATAAAAAT